ACATAATCCATTAAAATATGATTATATCTTTCAAGACTTAAGGTCGAGCGCGTGAATGAAATAAACACTTTAATCTACAAATAGACAACATTATTTCTAGAACATATACGCAGTTTGGCATCATATTACAATACACATGACCGTTTAAGGAAATATTTATAATTAAATAATTGTGTTACTCCGTAATCCATTCGAATACGCAATCGTTATTTGGAACCCTCAATGTGCTATTCACATTGCTGGAATTCAAAAAATACAAAAAAAAGAAATTCTTTACATTATCCATTTTAAAGAATAAAATATTGATTTCTTATTATATATATTGATTTTAAACGTGTTTATCTGGATGAGGTTTTCCCTTACAAAATAATAAACGGCTATGTGGACTCACCTTCGTTATTACAAATAGTAAATTTTATAATCCCTAGTCTCCTCACGTTCTAAAAACATTTTTCATTTTTCACTTACTTATTGAAACAAATTATGCCGTGAATACTTTTATAAGAAAGTCCTGTAAATTTTACAAAGTGAAATTTATAATTATTGTAGTAAAGCTATTTGTTTAATGTGTAGGTTAAGTTTATTAGATGTCATCGCCATTATTAATAGATAGCAACAAAATAATTTTTATTAGTATTAGTAATGGAACTGGTTAAATCAGGTATATTAGTTAAATAAAGAGAAAAAGGTAAAGATTGTATAAACTGTTCGAATTTTAATCATATTGTGGCACATCTGTTTTATAATCTTTGTCGACCACTCTGTGGCAACGTAATCTATGATATTTTGTCACAAAATTGTGAAATAAAATCTAATTGTCTCAATCGTCTAGGTGAATCTGATGGTGAGACTTTTTTTGTTAGTGCGTATGTTAATGGTTTATGATCGGTTAGTACGTTTAGTTCTCTACCTTCTACCATATATCTAAAATGTTTTATTGATAAATAAATAGCTAATAATTCTCTGTCATATGTGCTATATCTAGTTTGAGTGTCCGTCAATTTTTTTGAGTAAAATCCTAAGGGTTCTAATTTATCGTTTTTTTTCTGATGCAAAGCTGCGCCTACGCAATTCTCCGAAGCATCCTGTCATTAAGATAAGTGGTGCGGAACTATCGGGGTGAGATAACATAACAGCGTTATTTAAACTTTCTTTACATTGGTTGAATGCTTTTATCGCGTTTTCAGACCAAGTAATTTTAGTTTTGTCGCGTTTTTGAATTATGTAAGTACGCGTTTAATGGTGATTGAATTTCTGCTGCCTTTGGGATATTTTTTCTATAAAAATTTACCATATCTAAGAATCGACGTAGCTCTTCAATATTATTAGGTTGAGGATAATTTAAAATAGTTTGTATTTTTTTTAAACTAGGTTTGATTCCTTCTTTATTAATATGATAACCTAGACATTCTAATTGGAATTTTGCAAATTCGCATTTTGGTAGATTTATAGTGAGACCGTAGTTGTTTAATCGTTCGAGAACTAGTTCTAGGTGTTTTAAGTGAGATTCCTTACTTTGTGATCCTATTATAATGTCATCTATATAAGGAAATGCGAAATCTAAGCCTTTTAGAGCGATTGCGGAAGGCGACCTATCCATAACAATTTTATTGTGTCGTCTGGAATACGGTTTTTGCCTAATTCGTGCATTCGTCGAAGTAATTGTGATGGCCTTTGGTCGCCGAGTTCAATTTCATTCAATAATTGATTTAATTGCCTTGTTTCAGACTCTTCATAAACGGATATGAGTCTATTGCGAAGTGTTTCGTATTTGTTACATGACGGCATGTTTTCTAATAAGTCACTAACGTCCCTTAATTCGTCTCGACCCAGCTTAGCAATTAATAACTGTGATTTGTACAGGTCACTTGCCTTTTTGGGTCCACGATAGCGTTGAATTGATGGAACCATAGTCTTGGCTGTTGACGCCAAAACTCTGGTATTCTGGAGGAGATGGTGTTCGTGATCTTTTTTTGACTTTTGTCATTTCTGAAATAAAAAGAAATTCAAGAAGTTTTTATTAATTTTTTCTTACGTACATTGGGGGCCCCAGTGGCCCGGGGCCCCCGTATAATTGATACGGCATATACGGCGGTAGTTACGCCTCTGGATTATATATAAATCATAAACTTACTGTTTGTATTCCTCAATAAATAAAATAAAATCTATAATTCAACAGAAGTATAACATGAAAAGCGACGAAAGACCTTATTTACGCTTTAAGTTCCGACTATAATACAAGAAATACAATAGCAGCAAGTACGAATTATGTACTTATAAATAAATAAAGATTATACAAAAAGTAACATAAGATGGCTGTATTTAAACTTAAACTTTGCCTTTTCAAGTTTCAAGATATTGACAGTTCGCTGTCAGTTAATTCCATTAGGGAGGTATTTTATATATTTTTATCGTGACTCAAATTGGATATCTATTCGATACTAAAATGAAAATATGTAGTTGAATAACTCAAAACGTTTGTAAATAGTAGATTCAATTTCTTCTTTATAATACTAAATTAAAATAATTTTACCAAGTTTTAATAAATAACGTAACGATCGGTCGTCTATTTATGCTTGCTTCAAAAAATTCTGATGTAGAGAAACAAAAGTACTTTTTGCCTGAGTATTTTGATGATGATCATCATTTGTTAGCAAAAATATACCATATTTTATGTAATAATAACATTTATATTATTAATGTCTCAATTTTTTTTCATATAATTCACAATATAATATTTTCTTAATTTTAAATATTAATGAATTAATAATAAATTTCGGCGTAAAAATATCTTGAAAAATGTAATAGTAATAGTGTTAATAGTTTTAATAGTGTAGTTTAATATTAAGACCCCTAATCTTTAGTTTGAATGAACTTAATATATTTGCACGACATCAGTTTCATTACATTAAATTTTCTAGCAGTTGCATGTTCAATTTCTCAATACATCATTAGTTTCACGCAGTGGTGGGATAACCTCATCGGAGGCCCGGAGCCGCAACAGGCCCGGATCTACAACTTTTTCCAACCAGGGCAATTTTGATATTGCGTTAACCATACGGCATGACATTTCGTACCACGTAATATGATATTAAAGCATTACTCAGTACTCTAAATATAACCTAAGATGAAGTGCTATCGGGCAGCCAGACCGATAAACATTCAGTTCAATCACGTACCTGTTATTGTACTGAATAGTTTAATTCCTATTTCATAGCCTATCAACTATATAGTGTATATTATATAGTGATTATTTTTTTACATACGAATTGTTTTTATATTCAATGATATACAGCAAGCAATTAAAACCACTCTCCAAATTAGAGTATGTTAATCTTTACGACAAATAATGAAATACGTGTTTTTTCTTTTTATGTCGTTTAGAACAAAAATGTTGAGTTACATCGTCACCAAGTTATTTTCAAAAAACCTACATTTGTGGACGCTCTCGCTGCCCAGTACATGCGCTTTACGCGCTACGTTACACTTACCCCTCCCTCCCTTGCCGCAATTCATTGATAGTAATAATAGCAGCTACCTAAAATGTTTTCGTTTTGTCATGCTTGGGGAAATGATAAATAAAGTTGAAACCTCTTCATACTTTTACGGGCTTAGGACCGTCAAATTGCATAAATCCTATTAGATACCTACTATTACAATAGCTATACTGCTTTAAATTTATAAAGTAAGTAGGTAAGTAAATATCGAGTTACCTAAAATTCTGTTTAGTTAAACCAATTCAAAGTAGGTACTTAACTCGCTATTCTTTTGCAATCAGGCGTATTTAAAAAATCATCAACTTTATGTACATAATCAACTAATCAATTTACCTACCTACTTTAACTATTTACCTACGTATACTTTAATAATTGTTCAAAGTACATACTGTTCCTCTCCAAACAGAGTCTTGCACCTTTTCTGCACATTGTCTTTTAATTTTGCGAGCACTACCGTGTCATTTTTCACTTGGTAAAATGCCGCTCTGATTTGCACTTTTAAGTCCTCGAGACTTTGTGCTTCCTCAACATACACACGTCTTTTAATTTCGCCCCACAAATAAAAGTCACACTGTGGTAGGTCCGGCGATCGCACAGGCCCCACGATGGGGCCTCCGCGTCACGTTGATCACCGTGTATGTAACACTGCACCATTTCATAATATTCGCGATTGGAATACATTACGACGCGCGAAATGTGGCGCTGCGACGGGCGGTGCGCAACACGGAAGCAAAGGCGGAAGCGCATGCGTTCAAAGGGGTTGTGCGCGGGCGACTGACTGATGTGCGCCGACAAAATAAAAAACCGAGCAGACATTGTTGTTGGCGCATGCGCGTACATCCCCTGCGCCCGCGCCCTTGCTACCCCTGCTGCCTTGTTTTATTCATAACTAATGTGACAATGCGAATGTTATAATTATCTTGTAATTGCAACAAGTTTACATTTCATTTTGAAAATTTTACATACCATTTTTTTTTCATATATGTGATCTATTAACGATACCTAATGCTTAGAAAAAATTTGGAGAGTCATTTTAAATGCAGCCGGTATATATATATAACATTTTTAATAAACACTAATTTGACTTTTTTATTAAAGTCGAAAATGACAGTTCGCCTTGCCGCGACAGGAGCGGTGGATAGTATTATCCGTGGTATTACACTACAATATGTCGATGTCATGTTTGTTGCCATGCCATATTTAGTGTCATGTGCCATGTTTAATTTTTACCCGTTTAATTTGTACTGTTACATTACGCGATCATTTCATATTACGCATTATGCATTATTTATAGTACTTACATATCTTTAATAATAATGATTTTGGCGCGGCCCGGGGCAAACTGCCCCCTCCACCCTCTTAGTTCACCACTAGTTTCGCGACACTTAAGTAGTTTCATGCGATGCCCATTTTTTGACTACTTTAAACTAAAAATGTGAAAGAATCTATACGATTATTATTACTAGAGTAATAAATCAAATTGTGTTAATCGAGTACATTTTGTATCGATATAACATAGAGGCTGACCGACCGATACTGGTCATCCCTAATTCACTTTTTGCGTTATCTTTTTCACAGGTGTTTTTTGAGTTAGGTACTTATTTAATTATAATGGGAAACGCAAATGCAAAAGCTGTTGATGTGAAAGTGCCTGAGCCACCAGCACCGGCTAACGCTGAAAAACCGAAATTAAAACCATGTTGTGCATGCCCGGAAACTAAAAAAGCAAGAGACTCTTGGTATGTAAGGTTATGGATATTTTTTCTAATAAATTAAGATTCTTGCGTCATCCTTTCATATTATTTTGATAAATCTTTAACACTATTTTTCATGATTAACTTTTATTATGCAAGTAAGATTTCTATTGTGCAATAGATAAATCAGCAACTTGATATTTCAATGTCAAGAACTTGATATTGTTGTTTTACTAACAGCACAAAATGCTGTAATAATTACGACTAAATAAATTATTTTGATATTATTTTATACAAAAACTCATCAATTGGATTCAATATACTCTGTAATTGGTATTTAGTCAAACTTGTATCATTTAATAAAACTAATGTTCTTCTGAAACAAATGTTTTTAATTTAATTTACTATGTGTAAAATAACATATGTACCTTTTGAAGCACAGGCGGATTTTCTTTTCTTTTCTCAATACTGAAACTTGCTAACAATATATTCATAGCATCTATTATATAAACATATTTCAAATAAATTAAAGTCATAGTCTTTCCCACACAAATAAACAGTTTTACCTGTCAGTTCACTTGCAGTAATGATTCTAATATTGCTGTCTATATTTTTTACAGTATCATAGAGAGAGGTGAAGAAAATTGCGGTCCACTTATAGAAGAACACAAAGCCTGCATGAGGAAAATGGGCTTCAACATATAATTATAAGTTTGTTGAGAATTAGTTGCCATGGCAAAACTAGAAAGGTTGTTATATTTAGATATAAAGTTATCAATCTCGGAAATGGATTGTAGAACTAGTCATATTCGCATACTAATATGACTCGAAGGATATAATGTGATTGCCATAATGCTATAGAAAACAAAAATTACAAATATTGGAAAAGCTATTTATAAAATAAAGTGCTTTTTATGTTGATACCTATTATAATCATCAAAAATGATTATTCATGTAATGTGCATTTGTCTGCAATTCACCAAATAGTATTTTAACATTAGATAATAACAGCTTATTTTAAAGATAAAGTAATTACTTTGTGTTTAGAGATAGAAAAGCTTGGACGTTGTCTGTTCTTGTCTTGTCTTTAATATGTATACAAACATATTAAAAAGTATTTAATATTATGAGAGCTGATGAATAATTTATATTTTTTTGAGGTATTCGAAATTAATAAAAATACCCTTTAACTTTCTAAAATTATACCAAATAATTGGCTTTACAATTGTCAATAACTTCAACAAAATGAACTAAAATATCAAGATAATTTTCAAAAGTAATTCTTTTAACTAAGTTGGTAATATTTTAGATCTGTGCAAGATGTTGTTTAATTTATTCTAAATATTAGCTTAACTTAATTGTAAATAAATAATTGTTTGTTAAATACTGTTTTATTTAACTGCCAATAATAATTTTACATAGAAAAGTAAATCTCCAAACTTTATGAAAAAGTGTCACAAATAGTATACGATATGAAAGTGAGACATCGCTGCACTAATTTTGGTTGTCAGTACATTTGAAATACGTATGTGAGTTGCAGTGTATTATCAAATATAAAGCCGCTATTATATCTAACCTGTGAAGCAAGTCACCATTCGTGTCTTCGTTAAGTTCGCCCCACATCTTGTGATATACATATGAAGTCCATTCAAACTTCCAGAAAAGATATGAAACCGACTACCAAGAGGATATTCAAGTATTCAATAAATAAATAAGTATCACGTATCGCAATTTTGGAGGAGTCTTGTAAAACGTTACGATGAGTTCCAAATAGACTTGTGTAATTATCTACTGAATCGACTCAATGAGTCGGTTCAGCAAAATAATACTTCGACCCCAATCTCAAAGTTTGCTCCGAATGGAACAGGTTAGCTCACTGACACAAATGAACGAAATAATGAACTGAGCAAACATATGAGAAAGGTTAGCAACATCGGTTTTTTTAATAGGTAGAATACAAAATAGGGTATTTAGGTCTCCCTGACTTGGCAAAGAACATTATTATCCATAAAAGAGAGAGATTTGCATTACCAGCTGTTCCTGGCCTATAAAAACTGGTCACTGGGTATTAAGTACCGTTTATGAAGAGGGGGGAGGTCAGGATAATGTTACGGCGCTCTACATGGGGGGAAGGAGGGTCAAAAAATGTGTTACGTCCGCTCGTTAGATATATCTAATCAAACTTCAAAGATGTACTTTTTTTATGGGATAGGGGGCAGACGAACTGACGGATCACCTGATGGTAAGTGATTACCGTCGCCCATGGACACCCAACACCAGAGGGGCTACAAGCGCTCTGCCGGCCGGGTAATTTAACTTATTTGTTCTGGTTAAATTCGTTTATTTTTACTTATCAGTCTCTAGGGACAATAAAAATCTATCATTATCCCCTATATCGCACGGTGACGTTGGCGCTTACCATCCATAATCATTGACCCCCAATTTTATATAAACAAAAAATGATTAAATTGCCTATTCTCCAAATAAATCATTAATACATCAGTAAGTGCTCGCGCGCGCACGTGGTCAGTTGCGTGAATTCAAAAGGTTATCAATAAAAATATGCGTTTTATTAAAAATAACGCAAGACGGTGTGAGGACGACGAATCAGCGCCAAGTTCTGTACATTCGGTTGATAGCAATTACGAGTAAGTTGCATATTTCTAAACATGCCTACTCTTTAATCCTTCTTAGCCTCATGGTGATTTATGGGGTCTGAAAATGGGGTATTTTCTATATCACGGACGTGGTGAGTCCACGTCCACGTGTTCAAAGAACAAAACCAATTTTATGTCCTACGGAATCCTATTGTGGGGAAATGCTGCCAACATACAAACGATTTTTGTGCTTCAGAAAAGAGCAATTAGATCAATTTATAACCTTATAACAATTTCCGATTGGAGTCGATCCTATGGGCTTATGGTTAACTCTGTAAATTCATAAGTTATAATTATTGGTGGATCGAAACAGATTGCAAGACTCAATCACATTGTTGTTCCTCCTCTTACTCTGAATGGTCTTACTTTGACTTTCAGTAGTGTGGTTAAAAACTTAGCCGTCCTTTAAGATTCTTCCCTCTCCTGATCTTCGCATATCCCGAAGTTAGTCGCTGTTGGTAGTCAGCAAGAAAGGCACGATATTCGACCTCCGTAGATCATCGCTAATACCATAGTGTAGCTTTGAATTGAAACGTCTGTCGATTTGTGGTGTCATTAAATTAAAATATTAATACATATACTTATATAATAAAACGTTATTGTTTCATAGAAACCGCTGTTTAATCTCCCTCTAACAAGTGGTAGCAGAGCGTGGTTATCGTTTACGGGAGTACTGTAAATAAAATTGCAGAAATGGCAACAGCTACAAACAATCGAATTTCTATAGAAGCATTAACGAAATCCAATTACGACACCTGGTGCCTTCAAGCACAAGCTGTTCTCATAAAAAATGAACTGTGGGATATAGTAAGCGGTGCGAAAATACTACAGCCGAATGCTGACGCTATAGCCAGGGCGGCATTCAACAAAGAAGACCTCAAAGCCAAAGCAGAGATCATTTTGTTGCTATCCCCGTCAGAATTAAAACAAATTAAAAGCTGCACAACGTCAAAGTCGGTATGGGATAAGCTAAAGGCAACTTATCAAAGCACCGGGCCAGCTAGAATGGCCACCCTACTAAAGCAGCTAGTACTTAAGAGAATGAGCACTAACGAAGACATCCGCGACCATTTAAATAACTTTATGGACATAGTAGATAAACTCGAGGACATGGACATCAAAATCCCAAAGGAACTGCTCAGTGTCATGATTTTATACAGCTTGTCGACTTCTTACGAGAATTTCCGCATCGCAATAGAATCAAGAGATACACTGCCTAATCCTGAAGATTTAAAAGTTAAAATCTTTGAAGAATCACAGGCGAGGAGCAATGCAGAGAAACCAGAGTCCGAAGATAAAACTGAAGCTTTAATTTCCAAAAGGAAGAGGTTCTGTACATTCTGTAAGAAAAACACGCATAGTACGGAATCATGTTGGTCCAACAAGAAACAAGGCAAAACTTTTATGAAAGTTTCAAAGGGCAAAGACAACAAACAACAGAAAAGTTTCAATACTTGTCTAAATTTAAATAATGTAAATATGTCAAAAATGTCATGGTGTTTAGACAGTGGATGCACGTCACATATGACGAATAATAAACAAATATTTTTAAATATTTCCGAAGACAATGGCTCGGTAAAATTAGCTTCAAATGACCACTCGACACCCGTCAGAGGAAAAGGCACGGTACAAGTAAGTCTGAACGAATACTCATGCAAATTACATGAAACTCTTTATGTGCCAAATCTCTCGACAAACTTACTTTCAATTGGGAAGATCACGGACAGAGACAATAAAGTTGTGTTCGAGAAAGATAAAGCTTATGTTGTTGAACCTAACGGTGACATATCACTAAAAGCAAAGAGAAAGGATGGCTTATACTACATATGTCGTGAATCCGAAGATATAGCAAAGTCAGTAACTGTCGAATCAGAGATGATGACGTGGCATAAGAAGCTAGGCCACATTAATGAGAGAGACCTAAAACAAATGGCTAAAGATAAGAAGTTAAGAGGACTTATTTTTAAGGAAGATAAACTCGATACCTGCGAATCATGCATCAAAGGTAAAATGACACGATTACCATTTCCCAAAAATGATTCTATAAATAGCAATCAACCATTAGAAATCATTCATACTGATGTCTGTGGCCCATTCGAAATAGAAACTTTGGCCGGGTCAAAGTATTACGTCTCATTCATCGACGATTATACAAGATACAGCTACGTCTACTTTATGAAGAACAAAAATGAAGTGTTCAAACTATTCAAAGAATTTAAAGAAGAAGTGGAGAATTTTCACAAACTTAAAATACAGAATCTACAATCTGACAACGGCACTGAATACAGAAACAAAGAGTTCGATCAGTATTTAAGGGAGAACGGGATAAAGCGACGACTTACCGCACCTTACACACCCCAACAAAACGGTGTTGCTGAACGCAAGAACAGGTCTTTATTAGACAAAGCTCGTTGTTTGATGATAGATTCAAACGCGCCCAAGATTCTTTGGGCCGAAGCTGTAAATACTGTAAATTACCTTGTAAATAGAAGTCCAACCAAACTACTAAAAGGTAGTATACCATATGAGATGTGGGTAGGCAGACCAGCATCGGGGAATCATCTCCATGTATTTGGAAGCAAAGCTTTTGTCCTCAAAAAGACACGCCGTGGAAAGCTAACTCCTAAATCTATCAAAGGTGTATTTATGGGCTATGCGTCAAATGCAAAAAGTTATCGGATATTCATACCAGAGAAAAATGATATAATGATAAGCAGAGACGTGAAGGTAATAAATGAAATGTATTACGAAAGCAAAAATGATACTAATGAAAGTCTTATTGAAAATGAAAATAAAGAAAAAGATAGCAAAGCAGAAGTCACAAATATACAATTCGAAACAAGAATGAATGATGACTTAACTGTACAGCAACTTGATATTACAGATGTTGTAAATAACCCTAATCCAGATGTAAATACAGATGAAAATGAGATACATCCGGTTGTACGACCTCAAAGAGAACGAAGACCGCCAATACGGTTGAATGACTATGTACAAATTAATGATAATGATTGTGAAATTGATGAATATTATGACACAAACATAGCAAAACAATCACACAAATGTGAAGATGGTGATGACGAAGATTACCATGATGCTATAAAATCTGAAATCAGAGCGCATATCAAAAATGGTACATGGCGGATAGTTCTTAAAGAGAAAGATACGAGACTAATCGGATACAAAATTATTTTAAAAAAGAAAATTGGCCCACACAATGAAATTAAAAAGGCCAGACTAGTCGCACAAGGCTTTACCCAAAAACCTGGGATAGACTATAATGAAACTTTTGCACCAGTTGTAAAATTGAGTTCCATAAGAACAGTTGTAGGAATGGCATTAGAAGAAGACTTACATTTATGTCAAATGGATGTAACTACAGCATATTTAAATGGTGACCTAGATGAAAGAATTACAATGAAAGTTCCAGAATATCTAGAAGAATATGTATCAGAGGTGATGATAGATGAAATAGATAAAGAAGATCTGACTGTATATAATAAAGCTAGAAAAATGCTCGAAGATCTGAAAGGTATAAAAGGTGACAAAGCCTGTTTACTAGAAAGAGCGCTATATGGATTAAAGCAGTCAGGACGTCAGTGGTTTAAAAGACTAGACACTGAACTTAGAAAGATTGGCTTCGAAACTTCATCTGCTGATCCATGTCTGTACATATCAATTAAAGGAGGAGATAAAACAGTCATTACAATCTACGTAGATGACATTTTGATGGCTTACTC